GTGTATTTTCATTTCTTTGTGCATGTGTGCATACACACGCAAATGCATGCCCGTGTGTGTGTGTGTGTGTGTGCACGTACGTGCATGTGCATGTGCACAGAGCCACTGAGTCCACAAGAGGGGGTTGCATCCACTGGAGCTGGAGTGACAGGTGATTGTAAGCCACCTGAAAGGGTCACTGGGAAGCAAACACAAGTGTTTTACAAGATCAGTACATGCTCTCTACCCTTGAGACATCTCTCCAGCTCCTGTCAACACTGTTTTAAAATGTCCAAATGTCAGGTTGGATTAGGTGGAATTAGGCCAGGCTTTCACATAAGAACAGTAAAGAATATCACAGAGATAATTTTAAAAATAAAAACAAATACCAAAACCCAAAACTGTATATGTGCTAACACTGTCCATTCAAATGGTTGTATTACTGGGACCTGGGGTGGAGACACACTCAGTGTCATCCTATGCCTGAAACAGATGAAGCAAGACCTACCAAACCAGTAGGACACACGAGCACACCCAGATGATACCCACTGACTGAGAAGAACCACCCTACCTCTTTTCACTCTTTGAGCATGTCCATCTGCCGCCAGACCTTTCTTCCTTTCAGTCCAGGGTGACTGCATGAGTCTCTCTTAGGGCTGTGTCTCACAAGCCCCTCACAAGCTACCCACCATACTGGAGGCTAAAAGATGTGGTTTAAATCTTTGAGCAACTGCAGGTCATATCCCAGCTGCCTCCACAGGCTCCCCTTCCACCTTAAGTATAGTCTCCTTCAGTCTAGAAAATTCTTGCCTCTAACTCCAGCACAGCTTCTGAAACTCCAGTCCAGCTCTCCTTTCGGTCTGTACGTGTGTGCAGGCTTTCCTCTTCAACTTCAAAGGCCTCATTGACACCCCCATGAGCCCCTGCAGCCCCTGCCAAGTTGTCTCAATTCATGTCCTAAACCAACAGGTCTCCTAAGGTTAGCATCAGAGGGAGAGGCGGTCTGACATTTCCAGTGCCCAAATCACTCTTGTGCACATGCTTGGCTAAGTTCTAAAACCTTTATGCATCCCCAGTCATAGTCTTCTCTTGCTAGTAACACAATGACACATAACCGGTAAACAAAGAAAAGAGGTTTGTCTTGGCTCAGGGTTTGGTCCAAGGGTGAGGAACACATCTGGGGATGTTGGCCTGCTAGCAATGTCCTAGAGTGGTACCAGGCATCATTGGAAAGAGATAGACAGCATACATTTCTGCCTGTTCTGGCCTCTCTCCTTCTATGAAGCCTCTAGAATTTAATCATGGTGCTCCATTCTGATGACCGTATAAAACCCTAGTCAGCTCCCAAAGGCCACACTTTATTTCTGTGTCTACAGGTACTGGACATTCAGAAGTGAAGGAGACAGGCATACTTCCAATCTCAGTGAGTCTGCAGTCTCTTAGGCAAGTGGATGCTGTGCAGGTGACACAGAGGGAAGCTGATAAAGGGTGACGTTTGTGACAAGGAGGTCACTTTAGATGAGGTGGTCAGCAAGGCCTGATCTAAGGAGAGGAGGACATCTGAACACAAGCTGGAGCAAAGTGAGCAGTAGGCGTCTGTCTGTCCGTCTGTCTGTTTCTGTGTGTGTGTGGCAGAGCAGGTAATATAAAGGCCTTGAGATATGAGCAAGCTCAGCCTGCACAGTGCGTAGCTAGGAGGTCAACACGCTGGAATACAGCCTGTAGCCAGAAGTGGTTAAATACTAAGGTATGCGAGATCAGAGTGAGGTCAAGTTAGGTTGTGTAGGGTTCTTCAGGTTCCCTAAGGACTTTAGAATATGTGTGTGACTCAAATCCAGTGTAGTTGTGGGACATGAGATGACTCACCTTTCAAGAGATCACTTAGCTCATCTGGCTGCTGAGCCTCCGGAGAATACGGAGTGAGAGCAGGCAGACCAGCAAGGACAGTGTCCAGCTACTGATAACCGTGAATTGAGTGCTCTAGAAGGGGCATTTAAAGGACAGCCTCTCTTTGAAAGACATATGTAAAAGTTCCTTTTATCTCCTTTGTGGATAACAGGGAACGATGGTAGTGTTACAGGGGATTGCGAAGGTATATATATATGCATGCACATACTTGTCTATAGGCTTGGGAGGTGGAGACAAGAGGATCAGAGTTCAATCAAGGTCATCCTCCCCTAGATAGTGTGTGAGATTCCAGCCTGGGCTACATGAGACCCTATCTTAAAACAAAACAGAAACCCAAATAAAACCAAAGCAAACAACAACAACCAGTGGCTGGAATATGGCTCAGCAGGTAAAAGTACTCACTGTCCTTTCAGAGAACTGGAGTTCTGTTTCCAATACTCTTATAGAATGGTTCACAGCCACCTGTAGCTCCTGCTCTGGCTCCAGCAGATCCAATCAATGCCCTCTTCTGACCTCCAAGAGCATGTGCACTCATGTGATATACACCCATACCTGTACATATAAACAATATTAAAGAAAAAACCCAAATCGACAAACCAACCCAAACAAAAATATTATAACTGAATTCACAAAGGTTATATACATAGGCTAACACTTACTTTAAAATAGAATGTATATAATAAAAATAAATATCAAAGAGAGGGCATATATATCATATAGAACATTTCTAGGGAGTATCCTTCTCAGGACGTCACGACTGTCAAATCACACGGGCCTCTCTAGTGTTAGCTGTTGTCCCCCTTTACAGACCGACACAGAGAAGATATTTGTCCCAGGTCCCACAGGGAGTAAAGGCAGAGCCAAGAGTCAGCTCCGGCTTCTGACTCTGCAAGCCAAGAGGCACACATCAGGCACCTGTCCAGGGGCGACACCGGCTCTCACTCTGCTCCAAAGCAGCAGCCTGGCAGCCATGGCGGCACACCCACTTTTTCTTTAGCACTTCTCAGCTAACCATCAGCAGACATATCTTGTCTGTTCTTTGTCTGACCCTGTGCAGGCTGTTACCAAGCCCGGAGCACTTTGTCCTTTTTACTAATGTCGTCCTGAGGTCAACTTTGCCTCCTCTCATGGCAACACCACCCTTTTGTGTGTACACTCTCTCCTCGAGCCCCGCCTCATCACCAGTTGTTACAAGTTGCTTTAAACACTCCAGTGTATCATGTTTTCCACACTTATGTTGAAGCAAGACATGTGCCTCTTCAGCTTAGTGCTAAAGGCCAAAAGTGAACACGACAGACAGTAGTAACCTGACCTTTCCAGAAACACTGAGCTAGAGAGAACAGGTCCCGTTGCCCTTCGGCATTGACTCTTTCCTCCCAGCGCAAAGTGGGTACAACGTAACAGGTGGTGAATATCCATCCACTTGTGTATTTAGTTGAGAGCTTACTATCTCGTTAGGCCCTGTGATGAGTGTCGAGGAAATGCTGAGAAATCAGAGGCTCACTCGGTCACCACCGCAGTTAGGGCTTTCCATGCCTCTTGGTCTGAGGGTCTCCAGCATCTTCCTGACTGCAGATGGAGTAAAGGCCAAGAGAAGCTCTGTGCCTGGGAACTGAAGCTGACTGAGGGCAGCGACCAGGAGTGGCAGGCAAGAAGTAAACAAGCGTTTGGAAGACCAGACTCCAGACACACGTGTCAGCCATTTCTCAGCCTCCAGTCTGGGTGAGGTCGCCCGTGCCACATGGGGCACAAGCATTGGATAGGTGAACTGTGGAGCCTCCTCGGGAGTGGAGTTGGTTTGGATTGGAGCCGGCTCACTTGTGAGTCAAAACTCTATGGGTTCAGCGCCAAGATGCTGGCGTCTGCCTTCTGATCCCGGCACTGTTGTTTATGTGTGTCACCTTGAGCAAGTCCTTTAACCTCTCCGGAGTTCACTTTCTCATCAATGAAACGAGTTTCCAATAACCTCAGGGTTAAGTGCCGGGCAAGCTTCTCTAGTGCAGTGGCCAGCACAGAAAAATACTCAGGAAAGGAGACTGTTCACACCTCGTGGGGTCCTCCGGCCTCCCCGGGGGTCTCAGCATCCGCCAATCTTTTCCAAGGAACCCAGTCCTAGCCTATTAAGGGCGCGCCCTGCTTTGATAGATTTATTTGCTTGCTTGGGCGGAGCTTGGAGCACAACGAGTAGGAGGCGGCCGCGGAGGCGGAGAGCGCAGAGAAAGGGAAGCCACCCGGGGGCAGCAGGCGAGCCAGGCGGGGCCGGGGAGGAGTCAAAGCGGGTTCCAGGGGCCGGGCGCTGAGCGCAACGAGAGCCTTGGGCGGCGGAGACAAGGGCGGGGGCGACGCTTGGCGGCCAATGGAGCGCGGCGCTACTGCAAGGGCGGTGCAGGAACCCCGGCCGCTGACAGTCAAAGTCGCCAACTCCGCCCTCGTACCCGCGGGATCCCGGAGCCAGAGCCCGAGCCCTAGCGGGGCCGAGGCCGCCCAAGGCGCGCTGCGAGCGAGCGAATATGGCAGCAGAATGAGGAGCCTGGCGCCGGGTGGTGGCCGCCGCTGCGGTGCTGCTGCTCGCGATCGGCGCCTGGTACACTACGAGCCTCATCCTTAGTCGGCCTCCGGGTGGCCTCTGGGTTCCATTCGTTACCAAGGACCTGGGGGAAAAAGGAGATCCGCAGCCCAGAGAGGGTGGTGAAGCGGGAGCGCCACCCGGGAGAGAGATTCTGCGGGGATGAGCCGGCCATGGGGCGGCCTCGGCGGGGCGCACGGAGCCGGCTGGCGCTGCCGCGGGAGCGCTGCCTGAGCCCGGGCTCCACGGGGCTTTGGGGCCTCGTGCGTCCTGGCGGAGTCTCTGCCGCTGTCTCCGGGAAGGACAAGAGCCCCGAGTGGCGTGCACTGCAGCAGTCACGGCTCTGAGGCTCTCGGAGCCTGCAGGCTCTGTGGTTCCGTGCGCTGTCACGCCGCCTCACGCGGGCGCCTTGCCCGGGGCTCGGCGGCTGGCGCAGCGAGGTCGGCTGCCGGAGCCGGGGACTGCGGGACTGGCCGGAGAGGCGTGAGCGCGCGGGTGTTCGACTGGAGATCCCTGCAGAAGCAGAACCGGGCGGACCTGAGCAGCCATGCTTCCCGGGGTGGGCGTGTTCGGCACCAGCCTCACCGCCCGAGTCATCATCCCGCTGCTGAAAGATGAGGGCTTCGCGGTGAAGGCGCTGTGGGGCCGCACGCAGGAAGAAGCCGAGGAGCTGGCCAAGGAGATGAGCGTTCCCTTCTACACTAGCCGCATCGACGAGGTGCTGCTGCACCAGGATGTGGACTTGGTGTGCATCAACCTGCCGCCGCCGCTCACTAGGCAGATCGCTGTCAAAACCCTGGGTGAGCGACCCCTCCCCCAGTCCTCTCTTCTTTAGCTCGACCCTTCGCTTCGCTCCCTTTCCAATTACAGATACCCCAGGAATCCCAGACCCAAGCCTGTTACTCCCAGCTTTCCCCTTTCCAGTCGGCGGCCTTCCCCACCTCCACGCTTCGCTCCTGGTACCAGCTGGAAGCGCATCCCCACGTGTGTGGTGCGGAGGCTGGAATAGGCTTGGGTTCTAGGTATAGGAAACGAATGGGATAGATGCAGAAGACCAGTTGCTGTTCCAGGAAAGAAACTCGGTACCTAGCTGTATGTGTTAGTTAGTGCTCTGGTGTGTTGGTGCGCGTGCGTCTGGAAGAGGAGAGCGCGCAGGAACCCTTGAATAAAGGGCCGCACACGTGGCACGGTTTTTCCAGGGTGTACCTGTTGTGAGCAGCTGTGGCACCCAGTTTGGGTCGTTTTGTTTCCCTCCACTGTAAGTGAGTTTAGTGTGAGATTAGAGACGTGACAGCTGGCTGAAATCATCTCTTCTGCTCTGGAAGCAAGCAAGATGATGAGAGTGGGCGGGTCTATCAGCGCACTCTCAGATGTGTCGGAGGTTAGTAAAGATTGTAATTTAACCTTTGGGCACAGTCTCCCAGGAGTAGGTTTCTACTCCAGTTGAGAATAATATACCTTGTGTTCTTCGGAGGTGGGAATTGTGGTTTCAGAGGCAAGGATGCTTTGTGTGGGGGGAAAAGGCCAGACGCTGCAATTTCCTTTGGAAACATGCGATGGCACCTCCGTATTTTGCCTCAGGAATATTCCCGAGACACATTGTGTTTACAAGCAGGCTGGGGGTTCTTCTGTGCTCAAACGAATGTCTTGAGCAAATCTGTCCATCAGCAGTTCTCTTCCATACCTAAAACAACCCGGCTTGTCTTATCCCCCTCCAGAGATTTCACACTCACCCTTTGGAAGTCAGGATTACTGGAGTCAAGAAAAAAGCTCCTGACAAACTAGGCTGGAGAAATTCTAAAGTGAGGGCTACTGGTCTTTCCTGTACTCATTAATTGTATTAAGCTTCTGGCTTTTGGAGCCTGGTTTCTTTAGCTTTGAATTGAATTCTATTGACTCTTGGCCAATGTTTCTTCTCTGTCTCACGGCTGGTTTATACTGGTTATTTACATTGGATTTGTGTGTCAAGTAGGTGATAAACAAGGTATAATATAAAATCTATGAGGGCAATTTCTATAACATGGGTTTCTCTTGAGCCCCATCTATGCTAGAGGCTCGGGTTTGGTCCTATTTAAAAGCTTGTTGGTGCGTTCTCCTCCCCTCTCTGGTGGCATCTCTACAGGGAAGACCCGTGGAGCAACTCTGGAACAGGGGAGCGCCAATTACAGAACAAGAATGCTCTGATGGTCTCTGCTACTTACTATCATTGTTGTTTGAGGTGGGGTCTCATGTATCCTAGGCTGACCTCCAACTCTCTGTTTAGCTGAGAATGACCTTGGACTTCTGATTCTCCTGTCTCTACTTCCTGAGTGCTGAGATTCCTAGTTTATTTGGTTCTGGGGATCAGACCCAAGGCGTCTTGCATACTAGACAAACAAGTATTTCAGTAACTGAGCTACACCTCCAGCCTTAATCTCATACTTTGGTCACCAAAGTGTTTAGGGATGTGGACTATTGTTATACTTTTCTGAATACTTGTGTGGTGATGATGATGATAATGTCTGTGTGAGGACTTGGGGTGTGGCACCATGGTGGAACACCTGTTTGGCATGCACAGGCATCTGGTTTGGAAAAAAGAATCCCTATAAGTTCTTGTTTTGCACTGACAAGGCTGATGTGTCTCTTCAGAGCTAAGTCTGGGAGGCACCATTAACTGAGTTTACTAAGTGTGACAAGGGAGATAGGACGGGGTTCATCCTTTCACGATGGACTGTGGGCTTTCTTCTTTTCCTTTTGAGTTTGTTTGCCAGTGATTCAAGGTAGTCCATGATTATGGAAAATGCAGAGGCACCGGACTGAATCTAGAGGTGGTTGCACAGGTGTTAAAAGACTTCACTGCAGACTTATGAGGCTTCTTTCGATTGTACCTTCGAGGCCACTCCTGACTGACTTCACAGTCATGGTTAAGAGGTTCTGCACACATAACACAGGAAGTGGAAAACCCCAAACAGTTATCAGGCTGGTCTTGGCTGTTGGAGGTTTGCACATATTAGCATTTGCCTGGGACTGAAAAGAGCCATCCCTTTAATGAGTCCTGGTGAGGCGTCCTTCTTTTTCCACTGTGAGCAAGTGTGGCTCACTGTGAGCAACCTGTGGTTCAGTCCAAGTCATGACCTGATAAGGAGAAGGTACCAGATAAGTGAAATTGAATCTATGATATTGTACACATCTTCCTTTGATTTCCAGAAACTTCCTTCAAAGTCCTATTGCTACCAGACTTTGGGTCACCGTCTCTGCCTCAGCAAATCAGGTTCGCCACCTGTTCTCCATAAGTCCATTAAAACAGACACATTAATAGCAGAAACGGAGATTTATTCAACATTGAGAAGAGGGACAAATAGGACCCGGTGACCTTCCAAGTCTATTTTCAAGGTCTTCAAGTGAGACCTTGCAATAGAGGTTTAAACAGAGGCTCAGAATTGTGCATGGCTGAGCGGCTTTGTCAGCTGCAGGCCGCCCCTCATTGTTTGGTTTCACCCTCCTGCCAGGTGGGTTAGCAAATTGCAAATGGCTTTCTGGAGAAAAGTCTCCCCTCTGGCTGATCCATGCTTTCTGTGGTCTGTTCTCCTATCCTGAGATTCCTGGGGGGAGATGGAGGGATAAGGTGAAGGTAGGGACTCCAGTTTCTTAGGGTCCATTGGTTTTAACAGTCTGATAGACAAATTGAGGGGTGTTTCTTTAGACTGTGTTCATTCTTTTCAGAGCAGTTACACTGCCTCAGTGGCATTTCTGCTGTAGAGATATTTCTGCCACACACAATTTGTATGCCATTTAAGGCTGCCTATGACCAAGAATCTCTTGTGGGCCAGCCAGTGTGGTAGTTGGTTGTGTATAAAGCATTTGAATGTGATGAAGACAAGTCTCTAAGGTAGACATCTGGCTGATTTTTACAAATGAGGGTACCCAAATTCAGAGAACAGAGTTCCAGCTACCCCTGACCACACAGGTAAGAGACCACCAGCTGTCTCTCCAGTCCTTTCTTTTGTCACCTCCTAAGCCTGCACCATTTCCACGTTTCCTTCCCATCAGAGATTGCTTTGTGTGTGTGTGTGTGTCCTGTGTTGCTATCTATCCTACCTTTGGAATTGGTTTCCCCATAATATCAATGCCATCCAATACCATCTCCTGAATCTTTCTGTCTTTGTTACCCTTTGTGGGTCCTGGCTCACCCCGGTGGGTTCATCCTTCATTGTGATTCAAGTTATTGTGGGGGAACCAGAGACACTCTCACCATTGCCTTTGCTTTTAGGAAAAGCCTTATTAGCCAGATGGCACGATAAGCAAGAACTGGCCTCTAAGGAGCCTGGCCAGCTTCATATCCTACAAGGCATTCAAGAATTCATCGAGATGGCTCAGTGGGTAGAGAGGCTTGGCGTGCAAGCCTGGAGAACTGAGTTTGATCCTTGGAACCCATGAGGAAATGCAATGAGAGAGCTGATTTCATGGGATTGTCCTCTGACTCTTATATATGCACTGTAGCGTGAGTGTGTGCCTATGTGAATGCACACACACATGACACACACACACACACATGCACACATACACACATACACACACACTCCATGAGCTATACTTAACTTACCATTGGGCTATGTTGGAGAGACTCTTGACTCTTGGTTCTTATGTTCAAGCTTCTGTCAGGAGCACCATTGTTCCTGTATCTGGATTAAGAATAGTGCAGCCTCCCAGACTGATGTCAGTTAGCACCTCCTGAATCTCGTAGTACTTCTGCTTCTCACCTCCGCCCCCTCCTTGGTATCCCCTTCGAGGCTCTCAGTACCATGAACCTTTGTACTTTCTAGAACTAATTTGAATGTGTTTGTTTAAAATTGGAATTGTATTCAGTTAGCTTGAGTAGGTTATATATTTACATGACACAGATTTCAAGCTGTATAGAGTCAGTGTACCCTATTCTGAGGTAATCAACCTTACTACTTTTTTTTCAATGTCTTCTATCAAGGTTTTTCTGGATATAGTGGTAAATACATGTAAGAACTCACTCTGTAGACTAGGTTGGCCTTGAACTCAGAGATCTGTGTGCCTCTGCCTCTCGAGTGCTGGGATTAAAGGCATGCACCACCATAGCAAGGCAGCATGTAAGAATTTTCATTTCTTTTGGGTGATTGGTAAAGTTTCTTTCATGCTACTAGAAATTCACTATCATTTGACAGTGTTATCTATCTATCTATTATCTATCTATCTATCTCTCTAAAGCATTTACTATTAAATAAAATTTCAGTATATCATACAGGCCCTCCATGTTTGTGAGTCCTGCATTTGTGTATTCAACCAACCATGAATCAAAGATACTTGAAAAACAAAGAAAAGAAACTGTACTTCTGCTGAACAAATGCAAATGTTTTTCTTGTCATCATGCCCTAAACAGTGTAGTGAGGTGACGAATCCAGCATTCTATCCCATTAGCTACTCTAGGCAGAGAGGTTAAAAGCTGAGACAATAGTGTAGATTACACACAAATGCTCAGCTGTTTTATGTAAAGGGCTTGAGCATCCTCGAGCCTTTGTACCTATGGGGATTCTGGGACCAATCACCTGCTGAGAAGGATAACTGAATGCATATATATGTGTATGTAATATATTCATTATATACAAATATATACACTGCACCTAAACACATGTACGTATATTTAGATGTGACTGTATCCTTAGTCATGTTTTGGGCTATATAGGCTTTCACTGTATGGGTGAAATGAAAGTGTATTTGACCCTGTTATTCAACATTTCGGTTGTTTCCCGTCTAACACAAACATGGAATGAGTCATCTCGAGACGCTGCCGTTT